TACATAAAATGGAAAATAGTTTTCTAAGCTCTATATAAAATTGTAGGCATTGCAACTAGAATCTGTGTTATGCAGCATAATGCTTTATTCTGACCAAAAACTATAACATATACACAATAATATACAAACGAAAATTGGCAAAATTTCCTCAACTTTTCACCAGCTTGCTTTCTGTCAATAATTTTCAGTAAATCTGCTCAAATTAACTCAAAACGTGTATCATATGTTGTCAAAAATATTTTGTTTACCATTTGCATAGAATAGCTAATGTCTAGAAGGAAAAAACAAGGGAGTAAGTAAAGATATCAATCAAAACTGACAAAATCAGAAGGTGTATCCACAATTTTGACCACCAGTGTATAACTGGTGTGGTGGTGATCAGGGACACTGACTGGTGACAGTACGAAAAAAAAAAAATTCCAATTTTGTTTTCTGTTTTTTGTTTTATTTTATTTTTTTTTTTTATTAATTTTTTTTTCTCTTTTTAAGATTTTTTTTTTCATATTGCACTGTGAGCAGAGTAGTATAATGTTACCATAGTAACATTGTACTACTTTGAGGAAGTGATCAGTATTTTTTTTTTTACACAATTTTATTGATTATAGCAAAGAATTTCTTTGCTATAAGCAAGCATTTAACTAAATGAAATTGATTAATTCAGTTTTTTTTTTTTTGGTTTTGATTAGCTCTGATTTGCTATGGCTACGTTAGCCGTGTACCGGGGTGGGCTCCCCAGGATACAGTGAAGTCAAGAACGATGAAAGCAACCCAACACCAGCTTTTGCCACAACAGAATTTTACTTAGATGTGGCAAATAAACGCAAACACAAATGCTGGAAACATACAATAAGTTTACATACACCCAGCCCAAAGGCTGAGACCCTTGTGCTGCACAGCACGGTGCCTCCTGATGAATGAAGGTAGAAGGTGTAGTAATTTACCTACTGGCGGGCACAACTAAGCTGCCACACCTTACCCGTTATTACCCTAAAAGAGCAGGAATCAGTGTATGGGTGTACGGTATGGGCTAGCCTGCGGTGCAGCACAACAGCTTACAATCTTACACAAATCTACAGTATTCCCCCTCTCATAACTGGTCCTGTAGCACGTGCCTGAGTATTCCTTCTGAGCAAAACACCAGTCTGGCTTGAGTTTGTGGGATGTTATCAGCTCTCCGTTATTGGCAGCCGTCAGCTTGATGACTCTCCCGTCTTCCGGCTCCATCATATGTCCAAAGTGTCTTTCGAAGAACTCCAGAGGCATAAGGGTGCACTCCGACCCTGTATCAACTAGGCAGCGTACCTTCTGGCCTTCTAACTCGGCTTCCATAATGGGGCTGCTGGCATACAGGTCGTGTTCCTCATGCTTAGGGCTTAGCTTCTGGTGTACCACCGCAGGACGCCCAGCTACTGCGGCGGTCGGAAGTTTAACGTCGGCTCGGACTTCATCTGTTCTGGGCACTCTCTGGCCATATGGCCATACTGTCGACAAGCCCAACAGAGGGATCCCCTTTTGACGTGCCTCCGCAGCTGAGTTATCCTGGGTGGAGTGGCACGGGGTGCTGGGGTCATTTCCGGAGGCCGGGGAGATTCTGCCTTCATCTGGGACACTTCCAGCTGAAGTTCTCTTAATTCTGTCTGCATGGCCTGGACCACATCCTTTAAGGATTCTGAGTCTTCAGATGCAGACTGACCTCTTGTAGCATGGGTACTACTCACTATTCTCGCCGCCACAGGTATGCACTCTTCCTTTCTCTCCACGGCGGCTAAGTAGATGCTGTAGAATGTCATGTTGGGCGCCGTCCGGGTCATCTCTTGCAATTTGTCCTGTAAGAACTTGTTGGAGAGCCCCACTATGAACTGGTCTCATAGTAGTCGGTCCACCTCCCGGAAAGCTCCCATGGCCTCTGGATCTCGCCACTGTATTTCATTTAGCGTCTCCTGTAGGGCATTGGAGTACTGCATCAGGGTCTCGCCCTCTTGCTGTGGTCGGTTGAAGAAATGGCTCCGCAGCCGCACTACTTTAGCACGCCCCCCTTGGGCTCTCTCCAGCAGGGAGAATATTTTCCTCAGGGTGTCTCTCTCAGATTCGGGCCTTACCATCACTGTCCGTCTGACGTCACCCTCTAGAGCCCCCAATGCAACCTCGGAAGTGAGGTTACACATTCTAACCGCACTTTGCACTCTTTCAGTCCAGTCCTGCATTGTCATATTTTTACCGTCAAATTTTGGCAGATGACTCAACAGCGCCCCCACGGGAATGTACCCTACTGGTACGGGCAGGGCAGGGGCAAGCTGTATCAGCGGTGTTGGGGCAACTTGGTCTTGCACTAGCGCACCCTGAGCTGGGTCCTAGACCGGTGCCATTGGCGCCGGGGGAAAATCTCCCGTCCATACTGGTCGCTGTATCCTGCCGACTACACCAAGTTGTAAGCCGTGTACCGGGGTGGGCTCCCCAGGATACAGTGAAGTCACGAATGAGGAAAGCAACCCCAACACCAGCTTTTGCCACAACAGAATTTTACTTAGATGTGGTAAATAAACACAACCACAAATGCTCAGAACGTACAATAAATTTACATACACCCAGCCCAAAGGTTGAGACCCTTGTGCTGCCCAGCACGGTGCCTCCTGATGGATGAAGGTAGAAGGTGTAGTAATTTACCTACTGGTGGGCACAACTAGGCTGCCACACCTTACCTGTTATTACCCTAAAAGAGCAGGAATCAGTGTATGGGTGTACGGTATAGGCTAGCCTGGGGTGCAGCACAACAGCTTACAATCTTACACAAATCTACAGTATTCCCCCTCTCATAACTGGTCCTGTAGCACATGCCTGAGTATTCCCTCTGAGCAAAACGCCAGTCTGGCTTGAGTTTGTGGGATGTTATCAGCTCTCCAATGTGAAATGTCACTTTAAGTTATGGAGTCCTTCCAATGATCAGTAATAACACTTGTGGCCTGACACAAACAGAGACCATAACTAACTAACTATAGGCCTGGTCTCAGCCTCTAGGTGCCAACACTGAAATGAGGTGCGAGCACGATCTTACCGACCCGGGTCTGCTTTTCATCCGCTGGTGACTCTGAACAGAACAAATGTCTCTCCAACAAGCATGCGGTATGGCAGTGTATGTTGCTTTGTTCCTCTGCTCTCATCAGCATTCCTGGCAGCAATCTTCCTTTCTCTGAACAGGATCAGGGTCTTGGACACGATCAGCTTCACTTAGCTGCAGCTCTGGTTACTGAGGGATGCTCTCACACCTGGATGCCATCAGATTCTCTGCTTACAACGCTCCTGTATTCACCATCCTCCAAACATGGCTGCTCTCTCTCCTTCCTGTTCTCTAAACTCTGTGTGAAAACCCCACCTCTTCATGAATATAGAAATATCTATGCAGTCTGAGGCTGTGTTAGGAAAACAGTGGCATCTTGTGGCTAAACCGTAGAATGTCAGTCCCGAACATTTAATTTACTCCACACAATAATTTACTCCACACAAACAGTGTTCAAACAATGAGAGCTGTTTCCCCATCTCACAGCTAATCACATGACACAGATGGGCTGTGATTGGCCCAGCCTGTGCATGTGATCACTGTGACCATTCACAGCTAGACACACTTGTATACAATGGATGGCATGAAAGGAAGCCATCCATTGTATACAACTGTCATGTGACCTGCTGTGATTGGTCATAGCAGGTCACATGGTACTGGCAACAGGGCCAGTACACAGATCTGTCATTAGCCGCATCTAGGGTACACGGCCGGTGACAGATCTCACCACAGCATAGCCCTGCGGGCACACACAAAGTACGATCTGGAAAGGACGTCACATCACGCCCTCCTGGAGGGATGAAGTGTTAGCCTGGCCGTCATTTTACCAAGCATCTACTTGTGTGAAGACCATGGTTAGCCTGCACCGGATTCACAGATGTTCTATTCATCCACATGCAGACATTCCTATTCATGTCAGTTGGGACAGAGAGGCTACACTGTGGGTGTGGGTCACTGAATGCAGACTGAGATCAGGGACCTGCACCTGAATGGATATCAGATTGGAAGCAGCCGTTGTGTCCCTATTGACATGAATAGGACTTCTTGCATGTGGAAGCACAAAACACCTGTGTATCCCATGCAGCCAAAACACAAACATCAGATGGGTTTACATCTAAAGGATTAGTAAACTCTTCCTTTTTTTCATAAATGGTCCTCTGCAGGTTCATGTCATAATGTGCTAGTATGCCCCACACTACCTTTTAAATGGAGTCCTCCAGTAGTATGCTGTCAATGTTGCTGGCACTTCCTTCTTCACCCGGTCTTCCTTCTAGGTCTGTGATCTCCGAATGTGTGCATGGGAGTCATGATCACAGCCAGGGCCATGGATAAGGGGGTACCACCAGTCCTCCTGTATGGGGTCCAGACCAGCCAGGGGGACCCAAGCAGCTGGGTGAATCTGATGTGGGCAGGGAGGGTGATGGGTGGGCCCCTCCTCCACACCCAAAACCCCCACCCCCACGGTGCTACAAGGGTCCAGCAAATATGTCACATTTACCAGCCCATTCCTTTCCTGACTGAACACAATGAATGATTGGTGCTGATCACTCACTGTGTTCATTCTTAACTGAAGCCTGGTAAACTGTGTTTTTCTGGAGGGGAGGGGGCCTTCTCAGGTTGGTTGTGTGGAGCCCCGTGGTTTCTAACAGCAGCCCTGATAACAGCATGACATTCTGTGCATTCATGGCACACTCAGCGTGCCTTGACTGCAGAGTTAGGCAATCTATACATAATGCAATTTTCTTTCTTTGAATCAAGGGTTGAAGGAGAGAAAATAGCTCAGTTCCCCCACCAACGTAGTTGACTTTAGTATAACCAGCCTATCAAGTTTTTTTGTATGATCACTGCTGCTTGCTGTAGCCTGCATCAGTGATCATTGTAATCAGATGGCGGGAAACCTTCCGCTGTCAGTATACAACAGCCAGCAGCAGGGGCAGACTGGCCATTTGGAAACTCGGGCACTGCCCGAGGGCCCGGGGTCAGTAGGGGGCCCCATGAGATGCCCCTGGTACCTTTTTCATAGGCTATTTTGAGTTTGGGCAAGGACACAGGGGCCCCATGATCCCCTATTGCCCGGGGGCCCCATGAGTTGTCAGTCCGCCCCTGGCCAGCAGGAAGTTTCCCCACCATCAGATTACAATGATTACTACTGCTGGCTATAGTGATCATATGAACAAATACGACAGGCTGGCTGTACTAAAGTAGATTAATAGAAGAACTTCGGTACAACCAGCCTGCCTATAGATGGATCAAAATCCGTCCACTTCTTGCTGAAACAGACAAATTTTGATTTGTCTATGGCCAGCTTTACTGTGCATTGCTGGTTATGCCATCAGCTACACATCAATTTGAATATCTTCTAAATAGGGCACGTTTAGAGGATAGTCACGGTACCTACAGGCAAGTCTTATTAGAAGTTTACTTGTAGGTACGAGTTTACAGTAACAGTTTACTATCACTTAAAGTATGTCGGCTGTGAACAAGGTCTTATAAATCGTCCCATACATATTATCTGGTTGCGTGTACTTTAAATGTCTTTGCCAGGAAAGTGAAGAGGAAAAAAGTTTATCTAACAAGGCCCGGCTATTTTTCAACATGGTAAAAACATCATTTGATTATCTAAAGCTTCTATATTTATGAAAAGTTCAGTAATAATAAAATCTGACAGTTTTTTTAAAAGGTTTTCTCTTAAAATGTGGTCTCCGTAAACAAGCAGCATAATTAATAAACAAGATGCAAGGGATAACAATCATTGCAGTAAAAACGCATAAAAATGAAGCACATTTACAATAAAAACTCTGCAGCTAGATATTAATACAGCTGAATTAATGTGAAATTTACATAATTGTGTGCATGGTTTATATTCATTTCACATTTCTTTGTGACATTTGGAGTCACAGGGTGGCTCCGGAGATTTTATGTTGGAAAATTCTAAGGAAAGCTTATTTACATTCTCAGTATAACACACTTTATTTACAGTGACCCCCCCCCCCCCTCCCCCCTCCCTGGCTGATGGGATTCACAAACTCCACATTGTGAATTATTACACTTGTAGATGTTAGCAAGAATGGAAATTTCCATTACATATTCACAGTGGGGTCTATTATGATTGTTGAAGTTTTTGTTACATTGTTACAGTTTTAGAAATCCTTTTAATGTGCAAATACAAAATAAAATTTTTCTTATGTGCTAGTTCAAGCAAAAAATAGCACTGAGCTGATTATAATAGAGAATGGTGTCACAGAGTAAAGGTTTTCCATTAAATGAAGTGTAAAGGGTTACATTGAATGTAAATATAATATATTTCACACTGATTGGACATATATCAGCAGGTCATATATCTGACCAATGTCAATCAACAACAAAGAAAAATTCCCAGCTCATCTTACCAGCCAGCCTGCAACAAACCATTGTCCTGTCTAACAGTTCACACTAAAACCAGGGATTTAGTTTGCACACATTTGCAAATACATGTGTAAGCTGCAGAGGCCACGTCATGGCACCCAGTATTATCTGCAGTCCTAGCTTTATAAATTTTGAGAACCTCCATAGTAGGAGCACATACATAATAATGGATGTGCTCCTACTATGGAGGCTCTCAAAATTTATAGAGTTAGGACTGCAGATAATACTGGGGTGCCATGACGTGACCTCTGCAGCAGCTTATGCATGTATTTGCAAATGTGTGCAACCCAACCCCTGGTTTTACTGTAGATTGTTAGACAGGACAATCTGATTTGTTGCAGGCTGGCTGGTAAGTTGAGCTGGGAATTTTTCTTTTTTGTTGTTTGACATGCATTGCCCTTCCATGTGCTCCTGGCTGCAAAGGCCACTTATACGTTGGGGCATATTTTGAATATTTTCAAATAAAATATATACCCTTGACAGGTCCATATGTTTGGAATCCATATGCAAGGCCAATTTTGAAAGAACCAGGCCTAAATGGGCTTACTGTTAAGAGCGGGTCAGAGGTTGCCTGAAATCTGATAGCTTCTGTCCTGACAAGTGCTTGGGCACGGTCTAAACCCAAGTTCATCCAAACCAAGAAGTTGGATGTCATTGCTAGCCAAAAAGTGTGGAAAGGAGATTCCTCCTCATGATATCACTGACCTAATGTGGGCACATGAGCCATATTAGGTTAATAATTTGGTCATTATTGATGAGCTGAGCTGCCTTGGGTTCCGTTTGGCAGGTATTCTGTGAACCTCAAAGAAGCAATCACCCATGCAGGGGCGGACTGACCATTCAAGCACTCGGGCACTGCCCGAGGGCCCGGGGGTCAGTAGGGGGCCCCATGAAATGCCCCTGGTACCTTTTATAGGCTTTTTTGGGTGTGCTTTGAGTGTGGGCAAGGACACAGGGGCCCCATGATCCCCTATTGCCCGGGGGCCCCATGAGTTGTCAGTCCGCCCCTGCACCCATGGCTTCCATAGGAAAGCTGAAAGTTGTCATATATAGAAGCTTCCATTTATGGTAAAGTTTGGACAGCCATATGAATGCCTGAACAGCCAAGGTTTCAGTCCAAGCGTAGGTAGGAATGAACCCTTGACTCATACTAGGTCGATGATGCCATGAGCATCCCTGAGCCTTTGTATATATAAAGCTGCTGGGCGGGGAGATTCCAACCAGCAACTCATTGGCCCAGGAATGAGAACTAACTTCAGGATTCAGACCGCACCCAAGCTCATCCCTAGTCTCCACCTCACTTACTGTCTCCCAACTTCTGAATTGGCACCACTCTCAAATTAAAAATACATGTAGTTGTTTTAAAGCAGGTTTTTCCATCCTTCTGACTTTTCACATTGGAAGAAGAGGAATTGTCTGGGGCCACACATAAAATACTATGACAATAAGGATAGCTGATGAGCTTAAAAAGTCAGGCAGATAGCAAGATAACGATCACTGACATAAATAATGAACCTATCTGTGTAATAAAACTTCATTTTTTAAAAATATTTAAAAAAGAGAAACTAGTGTGATATTTGACACTGTTTCACTGTTTTTGATAAACTAACTCATCAGTATCTGGCTGGATAGATGTAGTAGCAATTCTCAATAAATTCTCGAAGTGCTCATCAGATATTTTGGTTCTAATTTTGCCCTTCGCATGCTTCATCCATGAACATAGTTGCTCACAAATAAAGGTGCTGCCGAAAACTGATGACATGAATAAGGCATCCATAGCCATCTTGGGCCACATGCGGCCTATTGTCTGCAGGTTGGACACCCCTGTTTTAAAGTGTACCTCCCACCAGAAATGAAAATATGTGTGTGCATAGTTTATTATATTTAAAAACCTTTCAAGTTATGCTGTTATTTAATTTTTGTTGCTGTTCTATAGGTGTTACCTGTTGATCCAGCCAGTTCCTTGTTCGTTCAACCATATCTAGAGTCTGCCTGACAAGGGTACTTCTTATCCATCCAGATGTATACTGCCTCAACCATGTCAGCATCCAAAAGTTACCTAGCCAATTACAGCTTGCAGATTGACGGAACACATCAGAATTTTTTCACTAAAAATTGAATTAAGCAGTTCCTGAAGTGTCATGGTGTCGTTTGTAGTTGCCTTTCCTTCTGGTTTAATTTCTTATAACCATATAGATGTATTATCTTACACTGTTATGCAGGCTTGGTGACATTTGTACAATTTCAACAAATCTGATTCTAGCGGGCCACTGTCATTGCTTGAGTTTGTTCATCTGGACATAAAAGGCCCTATGAGGTTTCTCTCAGCTGGCTTTCTAAACATTTATACTATTTCCCAAATATTGCAATGAGATGATGAACGAATCCTATTAGAAAAACATATATGCATGAATAATACACAAGTGTTCTAAGACTTTAAAGTGTTACTAAACCCACAACAGTAAAATCAGTCTGTATATGTAGTAAAGCATGCTTGTTATACTCACTCTGGAACCTAAGGGGTTAATCCTCCACATTGTGTAAAAGGCTGTTTGATCCTGTCTTCTCCGGATCCTCCCCTTCTTTCACAGTCCCTTATCCTCTACTCTGCTCACTTTTAGGCGATCTCTGAAAACCTATCTCTTCAGGGAAGCCTATCCTGCCCTCAGCTAATAATGGAATCTTCTACTCTTCCTATGAGTCCATCTCCCACAGTTACTTCCTTTTGTACCACTAGCCCCGCCCTCTTAGATAGTAAGCTCCAAGGAGCAGGGCCCTCCTAACTCTCTTGTATTGAATTGTATTGTTTCTGTATTGTCTCCGGTTATATTGTAAAGTGCTGAGCAAACTGTTGGCGCTATATAAATCCTGTATAATAATAATAATAATCTATCTGCTGATAGTACAGAGCCCTGGGAGGCACTCTGCAATAGTTTGTATTGCTAAAGGGTTTTTTTTCTTTGGGAAGGGTGCATGTGATCAGCACAGGGCCAATCAGCACTGTCCAGACAGAGGGTCAAAGGTTATGCAGCCTCATAGGACAATCAGAGTAGAATGAGAACTCATCTTACAAGCTTTATCCACTGGTCAGCTGGACACTGCAGTGCCCAGTCAAAGACTGCTATATGCTGCTGATGAGAAAGGGTATTTAGCAGGTTATAGTATTTACTAAAATATCTGCATTTCCATGTTCTGTGTACTGTGGGAGACCAGATAAAGTGAATGCAGCGTCTTGGGTTTAATAACACTTTAATCTTTTTGTCTTGTGAAAATGTCACTTATATTCGGGGTGAATAACAGTTTGTAATTTGACATTATAGGGCAGACCTGTTATGAAAAATAAAGGTTAGAAACAGAGATTACTTTGTGATATTCATGAAATTGAACTTGGAGGAAACAAAAATGACTTGTCAAGACCTCAATGAATGTAATCCAGTGGATACAACTTGCTCCATAATAGGAAATTAGCATTACAAAACTTGATTGTCATGTCACAGCCTATTCATGGACATTCATGGACATGGCCTTAGAGCAGACCTATACTCAGGTAACAACCCTGATAATGCTGCGACAATAAATGGTAAAAGAATTGCCATTAAATGGCTGTGGAATACCTGCACAGAATTGTGCCCTGGGCTCTCCCCAGTGACAAGCCACATAGCTAGGGGTAAACCACTGGTTTCTACTAGAATGTCAGTACTACATTCCTGGAAGGGACCTCAGAGTAATGATTTCCATGGCAAAGATTTTTCATTCAATCTAATGTACAAGGATTGTCAGCATAGCAAGAGGTTATTTCTTTTTCAATAGTTTTTATTAAAGTTTCAACAAGAGAGCAATGCAAATAAGTACTGTTTATACTCATATGCTCATTTCACAAGTATAATGTCAACTCAAGATCCACAAGGCAGTTACAAAAAGGCAACATGAAACACAAATGACACTTGGTGATATGCCACATAACTGAATAGATTATAGCAGGTCAGAGAATCTACTACCTTCCCAGCCATGGGAACCATACCAAATTAGTCCAGAGCAGAAGATTTCTGTTTGTGTCTAATAATAATGTACAATAAAAAATAAACTGTAAAGGCCCAGAGTTAATATGAAATAGTGCCTTGCTTGGAATTTCAACTGATACCCCTAGTGCTCCCACGCAGAAGTGCTAACCACTTAGCCACTGTGCTGCTCAGTGTATAAGCAACACAAAGCAAGTTCAAGAGGAACATGAAAGAGAATGTGTATTAGAGAGCAGGATAGCGAAAAAAAATAATTGCAAGTGTGTAGAAGGGGGGGGGGGGGGGGGGGGGATGGGGAAGGGAGGAAAGAGGAGGAGGTGTGGATAATTTCTCATCCCAAGAGGTTGACCAACCACTCATTGATAGCTATCTATGTCAGACTCCAGGGTTAGGTTGAGAGTTAGCTATCCATGGGGGGGGATTAATGAAACTATTCTGTATATCTAGCAAGATATAGTCCAGTGAAGTGAGCAAGATCTAATAAACATGTGAAGGCTTTTTTTAAACATAGCTATGACTAAGTCTGCTTGGGTTTTAGCCCTATTTTTCAATAAAGCCTTCACATGTTTATTAGATCCTGCCATGTGATGACTTTGTTGGACTTTCACCATTTGAACTGAGCCTAAAGGGGTGGTTGTATGAACATTGGTGCATTTCCTTTACCTGTACTGGGGAACAGGTTGAGTGCAGTGGATTGCTTCATTTGTGTATATCTAGCAAGATATACACTATATTGCCAAAAGTGTTTGGATGCCTGCCTTTACACGCACATGAACTTTATTGGCATCCGAGTCTTAGTCCGTAGGGTTCAATATTGAGTTGACCCACCCATTGCAGCTGTAACAGCTTCAACTCTTCTGGAAAGGCTGTCCACAAGGTTTGAAAGTGTGTCTATGGGAATGTTTGACCATTCTTCCAGAAGCGCATTTGTGAGGTCAGGCACTGATGTCGGACGAGAAGTCCTGGCTCGCAGTCTCCACTCTAATTCATCCCAAAGGGTTTTTATTGGGCTGAGGTGCAGGCCAGTCAAGTTCTTCCACCCCAAACTCGCTCATCCATGTATTTATGGACCTTACTTTGTGCACTGGTGCGCAGTCATGTTGGAACAGGAAGGGGCCATCCCAAAACTGTTCCCACAAAGTTGGAAGCATAAAATTGTCCAAAATGTCTTGGTATGCTGACGCCTTAAGAGTTCCCTTCACTGGAACTAAGGCGCCAAGTCCAACCCCTGAAAAACAACCCCACACCATAATCCCCCCTCCACCAAACTCTACACCTGGCACAATGCAGTTAGGCAAGTACCGTTCTCCTGGCAGCCGCCAAACCCAGACACGTCCATTGGATTGCCAGACAGAGAAGCATGATTTTCCACTCCAGAGTACACATCTCCCCTGCTCTAGAGTCTAGTGGTGGCATGCTTTATGCCACTGCATCCGACGCTTTGCATTGCACTTGGTGATGTACGGCTTGGATGCAGCTGCTCGGCCATGGAAACCCTTTCCATGAAGCTCTCTATGCACTGTTGTTGTGCTAATCTGATATTTTGAGGTCTTTAGATATTGACTCTGCAGACAATTGGCGACATCTGCGCACTGTGCGCTTCAGCATGCGCTGACCTCGCTCTGTCATTTTATGTGGCTGAGTTGGCACATCATGCACTTTGTGGTGCTGAGTTGCTGTTGTTCCCAGTTGCTTCCACTTTGTTATAATACCACTAACAGTTGACTGTGGAATATTTAGTAGCAAGGAAATTTCACGGATGGACTTATTGCACAGGTGGCAACCTATCACGGTACCACGCTTGAATTCACTGAGCTCCTGAGAGCGACCCATTCTTTCACAAATGTTTGTAGAAGCAGTCTGCATACCTAGGTGCTTGATTTCATACACCTGTGGCCATGCAGGTGATTGGAGCACCTGAATCCAATGATTTAGAGGGCTGGCCCAATACCTTTGGCATTATAGTGTATAATCCCATTTTATTGTTTAACATTTTTAGAAATTCAACGCAGGAGACTTCCATAAATGAGCTATGGTTTGCTTGGTGGCACTAAACATGAAGGCGACCAATTTTGCCATATCATGCAAAACATTTTGAA